TTTATTTTTGCAGTGGCCCTAATCCCCTTCCGTACTAGTTACACTCTACTATTTAACATCAAAGCACACCAGGACACTCCGCCTTTGATTTCTAGAGGGATGGGGGGTTGTTGCTTCCCTCCTGCCGTGAAGTTGCATTTCAACACCCTTCATCTGACGTCATTTCTTTAAATGAAATAGGGAGTTTGGCTAGATTTAAACCAAAAGCAGTAAAACTGATCAGTCACAACATGATCACTTTCTGTAGGCTACTTTAATCTTTTTATCATGATGTAACATTAAAGTAATAATCTGGATGTTTTCCATGCAGACCTGCAGCAATTTGAAGCAGCCAACGCTGCTTTGATCACATGCCCCAACTAGTCTCCAGTCGTATCATCACTTCCTCAAGCCTCTATCTGTTTGATGTGATTATATCTCACAATTGATTTTGTGAGAAGTTGTCAAATATTCTGCTATTATTTTACGCATCACTGCCAGTCTCAAGTTCTTTTCTCCCGACTTGATTATAAGTCCTTATGAGCACAGGCTGCTGCGTAAAGGTGACCTACCTTGTCCAAGGAGAAGTCCGACCATAGAGCACAGCAGCACCACACGTAGAGCCATCAGCGGGCAGCACTATTGGAGAGGTTGATCAAAAAAGGTGTCCGATCTGCTCCTGCGATAGTGTCTGTCCTCCAGAGATGTGTAAATAAAAAGCAGCGCTCCTTTAAATAAGAAAAGCCCGGGGGTGTGGAAGGAAAAAAATGGATGTGATGGAGTTGGGAAGTCGCAGTTTGCAGCGTGACTGGAGCTTCTGGTGGCACAGAGAAGGGGCGGGCTGGGGCCACCGACACCCACTTATGGCCTATCAATTATGGGCTTCTTTTCTCACGTTTGACAACAAAATGAATATGAAACATCGCGTTAACCTTATATTAATCTCCTGAATAAAGAAATCAAACGACTGTCTCATTTGTTTCAGCACTGGCCTGTGCGCGCGCACTTGGAAACCGTCTTCTCATTTGGCAGAACTGATTCTAGAGATCAGTAAACATCTGGAGGTGGTTTGGAGTTTGTTTCATATCTGCTGTGCTTATGTCCAGACATTACCTTTTAAAAACTACTTAAGTTCTAACTTTCACTATAGAATAAATAGGAGGAATGCAAAACGTCAACAACCATTAACAACCTGAACAACCATTTTACTAGTCTGAAACCCTTAATGTTTTCCACAGTGGCGGTTCTAGACAAAAATGTACCAGGGGGCCAGGAGGGGGCCCACATGTTTCCATGGGGGCCCAGAAAAGCATGAAATAAAAAACAGAGCAAGGGATTCAAATATAGTAAAATAGCTTCATGAAGTGAAATTTCTATTCAATTAGGTTTAATTAAAACTCTATGTCTTTTTAAGTCAATATACATTCATAAATGTATACATTTTACATATTTTTAACTTAATTTAAGTTAAAATTAAAATTTTATATAAAATCTGAATTAGGACTCAAGAAAAACTGAAATTATTAGGTCTTCAGTACAAGGGGCCATAACAGGGGCCAGGACATGGTCTATAGGGGCACTGGCCTCCTTTGGCCCCTGTCCTATAACCGCTCATGGCTTTCCACTTATTCCTTGTTTAAGCCACAAACTTTCTTTTTGCGTTTTTCACCAACAGGAAGTAGGCTCGTGCACACTTATTAACATGAATGAGAATGACTTAAAGGAATAGTACACCCAAAACATGATTAGCCTTCATTTTCTACTCACCCCCATGCTGAACAACACTCTGGAGTACTTTTTTTGTTGTTCAGCATGGGGGTGAGTAGAAAATGAAGGCTAATCATGTTTTGGGTGTACTATTCCTTTAATGCAATTTACCAAATGATTTTTTTTTTTTATCTGAAAATGTGCATTGCGTTAATTGAACACTGTTCGTCAAAAAGTGGACAGAATAGGGCATACCTGCAAACATTATATGCCATGTTCAGAAAAGAAAGCATTTTATGATCTGAAATAGCCATTTGCACTGCAAAAATGGAATGGAATAGTGACTAAAAGAAAGTCTTAGAATCACAAAGTCTCATTTAGAGACGCCACACATCGCAATGAAGGTGCTCTATAATCAGGTAAGAAAGTGTAACATTTTAGCCTAACACCAAAAAAAATCAAATCACCCTGAACACACTGTTTGGATGTAGGAACATGTTGTGGAGAGGCAGGGGGGTATTTACCATTAGGCAATACTAGGCAGTTCCCTAGGGCCAAAAGTTCATGGGGGCCCCACAAAAGTGTTTACATGTATGGTTAATACAACTATCCCACATTTGTGCACATTAATTATGTTTTTGATTGAAAAAATCCTTTCGTTAAAATTCATCAGAATGCTTATAATATTTAATATTAAGTGTGTCTCATACAAATGGAAATTGGTAAAAAGATAAGCAGATCTTGGCTTGTCTACAGTGAAAAGAAGGACTTCTTTTATTTACTTTTGCCGTTGCCTTTTTGGAAAAACAGGAAAGCTCCGCACTCAGCTCAGCTAAGTGAGCTTAGTGCTTGGAAAAAAATCTTTGATTCCTTTTGAGACAGGATACAAAGTCAGCTGAGTACAAAACATAGAGAGGAAAACAACAAGGAAAGGGACAAGAAGAGAGGGACAAAAAGGTAGAACAAATATGTCTATTCTATTAAAATGTATGTATCTGTATAATGGCTTTGTTTTATGTGTTGTCTTCTCAATTCAGAGGGCCCCCTTTCTGCCTTTGCCTAGGACCCCACATCTCCTAAATCCACCCCTGTGGTGCGGAGCATTTTGATGTTGTGTTGCCTTTCCTAAACAGAAAGATATAATCAAAATTAACGCAAGTGGATACTTAAGACTGTCACAAAGTTTGGCTCTCCAGGGTGTGACCCTTGACCTACAGCCAGAGCTACAATGAAGCAGTTTAGATCAAAGCTCATGTGCTGGGTTGCCCATTACTCCAGACTGAAATCCAACAGAGAACTAAGAGGCATGACTTAAAAGTCTATCCTCATTGAGCCTCTGAGTCCAGACTAACTGAGCCGCAGGTATTTTTTGGAAAGAACTGTGAATGAATATGTTGATCTCCAGATGTGCAAAGCTGCTAGATACAAATCTAGAAAGGCTTTGCTGAATAAATTTGGTTCTACTAAGTTTTGACTCAATGGAGACGACTACAAATCCATGCCACACTTCTCAGAAGGTTATTTTTAAGTGTTCTAAAAACGATGTATCAGTTTCCAGAGGTGACAAATAACAAAGTACAAATACTCTGTTACCTGATTTAAGTAGAAATTTTGTCTATCAATACTTTACTGGAGTAATAATTTTTTTAGAAAACCTTTTAATTATACTCCTTAAATTTTTTTTATTATTATTTCTACTTTAACTCCTTACGATTGAAAAATAGAATCTCTAGTTTTGTTTCATTCAAACTCATTTTCATTATGGCTTGTTGGTATTGGTACCAATCAAAATTATTTGTTTCATCCAGACAATTTATTTCTTTTTGATTGGACTTAGTACTGCACCGACTTTTTGTTTGCCACATGCAAAAATAAATGTTTTTTTCAAGATGATGCAAAGTTGAATTTCACACTGTTACTATTTGTTTTAAGACAAAAAAAAATAACTTTAAGGAAGTTATCATCCAGAATTATTGAAAAATGTTCCTTCAATAGAGTGGTGCGGTAACCACTATAAAGTTTAAAGCATCTCTCCTTAACTTTTTTCCTGCATTAATTTTACTTTAATCCTTTAAGTAGTTGTTTAAATGGCACTTTTACACTTTTACTTGAGTTTTTATACAGGACGATTTTGACTTTTGACACCTCTGTCAGTTTCTTTGAGTTTCAACATTTTACAATAGTTTTTAGTGTTCTATTACATTAAATCCCAGTTATAACTCATTGGAGTTTGCAGTTGTAATGAGATAAAATTTGATAATCTTCAGGAGTTGGGAATTGTTTTCCAAGGCACTATATACATTAGAGATTTTGAAGAACCTGAGCACCTTTCTTTGTCCCCTTGCATTCTCCCTGTGGCAGATCCACAACTTAGCCTATTTTTCTCCATTAAAGTTAATAAGCTTTTGTAACTTTTTCATTAGCTGGAGGGAAGAGGAGTCTTTCAGCCAAAATGATTTTAGACACCATGCAAGGTCTGGTATTAAACAAACTGCATAAACACACATATACACATGTATACACTCGTCTACCAGACTTGGCAAGAAGTGCAGAAATAATTGCTAGACTGCATTCTAAATATTTTGTACCAGCTAAGGCCCTCTGCAAATTCATTCAGACTACTGACTCTGGGCATGCTGACAGAAGGAGGTTAAACGATCCTCTAATCAGAGCCATATGTCTGCACCAGCACTCTAGTCAGTTAAGAAACATCAGTGTGGACTCGATATCGTCTCACCACAGGCATACAAGGAAAACCACAACTACATGACAGTGAGAAATAGATAACTATACTAATAATAATTTTAGTTAACCACCATTTCATTTACTTAATAAGTGCCTTGCAAAAGACATGTCTGGTTACCATGGCGGCGCTCCAAAGCAGCCGCAAAGAACGACTCCACGACAATTTTGTCAATTTCACAAAATATGCCTTTTAATACAATACAAACTAGACATCAAACCTGCATCTATGATCACCAACGCCTGCTGGAGCTACGGTCACAAAATATTTTAAATCCAGACATTTTTTACCGTTTAAAAAACTACAGAGTGCTACAGACGGATGTAAATAAAAAAAAAGCGGGACATAATGGAAGGAAAAACAGATGCACGAGACAGAGAAAACGATGCTGCAGAGGGGGCCTAACTGTGAAGCTAAAGAGAGATCCCCACAGAACTCTGCTTTATCCAATCCTGCTCTCCAACGTCCGCTCGTTAAAAAACAAAATGGATAATCTTCGACTTGAACTCTCTTCAAAAAAAGAGATATGTAACTGCTGTGCCATGATTCTGACGGAATCATGGCTGCATCCATCAATAACGGACAATGCTATTAACCTGGAGGGGCTCACGCTATACCGCGCCGATAGGAAAAGAGAACTAAGCGGTAAGACTCAGGGTGGTGGGCTCTGTGTTTACATCAACAACATTTCGTGCAAGAACGCTAGATCGGTCTCCAGCTTCTTTTCCAGACATTGAGTTTCTGACTGTTAACTGCAGGCCGTTCTATCTGCCCAGAGAGTTCAGTGTGGTTAGCATCACTACTGTTTACGGGCCCCCCAGAGCTAACACTAAAGAAGCCATGAAGACTCTATACCAGGCTATCTCTGAGCTTCAATCTGCACACAGAGGGTATTTTCATCATTGCTGGGGATTTTAACCAGGCGAACTTGAGGACTGTTCTCCCTCATCTCTACCAACACTCCACTGAGGATGCCATCTCTGCTGCTCTCCACGTAAGCCTGGCACACCTGGAGGAGAAGAACAGCCACGTGCGGATGCTGTTCCTGGACTTCAGTTCAGCTTTCAACACCATCATCCCACAGCATCTGATGGGCAAACTGGAACAGCTGGGATTCAATACACTCCTCTGCTATTGGCTGCTAGACTTCCTCACCAACAGACCTCAGTCAGTCCGGGTCGGACAGAACACCTCTGATGTCATCACCCTAAGCACAGGCTCCCGTCAGGGCTGCGTCCTGAGCTCCCTGCTGTTCACCCTGATGACACACGACTGCATCCCCAGGTTCACCACCAATCACATGGTGAAGTTTGCAGATGACACCACGGTGGTGGGCCTCATCAGAGACGACAACGACCTGGACTACAGAGAGGAGGTGGAGCAGCTGGTGGACTGGTGCAAAGATAACAGCCTGATCCTGAATGTGGAGAAGATGAAGGAGATCCTCTTGGACTTCAGGAAGAAC